TTTCCGGCAGCGGCTGAATCTGGGACGCCTGCGGCAAAGCAGCTGGGGTGCTGCCGGGTTGGTCCCACAGTCCCGAGGGGCAGCGCTACGGAACCAACCCGGCAGCACCCCAGCTGCTCTGCCCCCGGTTTCCCCGATTCAGCTAATGGTCAGTTTCAGCAGCGGCTGAATCGGGGAAGCTGGGCGCAGAACAGTTCCAATAGTCTGGCTGCATGGAGCACTTCCAGGCTCCCGATGGTGCTGGATCATCAGGAGTGCCGGAGCATTGGATGCCGGACCAATGGGGTTTTACTGTATTTGAAAATAATGTCCAAAATATTTAATAAATTTTAATTGGCATTCTGTTTAACAGTGTAAGTAATCATGATTAATTTTTCAAGTTACAATTAATTCTGCGCTAATCATGTGAGTTAACTGCGATTAATGGACAGCCCTAATTTGAAGGCAATAAAATGTAAATGAAAGCATAACTGAACTAGAATTTCTACACCTACAATGCTAAAACTTAGTAAGTTCAGTAAAGCATTAGCAAATACTCACCAGTCATTTCTATAGCTAGAGAAGGATTCTCCAATGGAAGGAGATCTATTGCAGAAATTATTATTCAAGCACTCAGTGGAGCAGGTCTGTCTTCTAGGCTACAAAATAAAAATATAAAAGAAAGACAGCCAATATTGAATCTTCAGTATCTTTAGCAGTTAATGCATGATTGTCCAGAGACTTTAAAATTGAACTGGCTAGATTTCCTTTAAATGTATGTTATAGAGGCTTTATAGTTGAAATTGTATTGAGATTTGCAGTTTTGTATTCAAATGTTTGAAATTCAATCTCCAAACATTATACACATGTTCTTTGTGGACCAATTTTTTTCGAAGTCAGGTTTTCTCTTTAGTACCGGAAAAATTTAAGACGACCTTTTTGAATTTTTCCCAGTCTCAACATTTTTCCTGGCTAATGAACCACAGTATCAATGAACATCAAACCCCACACAGAGACATTTCCAAAATAATTCAGAAAGGACAGGTTTCAAACTTCATAGGGTTAAGAAATCTGGAGTTATACATCATGATATTCATCATCTTTGCTTAACTTATTTTAATGCACAAATCAAATTCAGCTACTTCCTTCCTCCAATGTTGTCATCCTGCCTGGAACCACCAGATCTACTTTGCACTAGGGATGTTAGCAACTAGTCAACTATTCAATAAGCAAATGCTTATTAGATAGTCAAGTAGCCACCTGACTAGTTGCTTCTCTTCCCCTCCCTCCCCCCACCTTGCTGCCTCTATCAGAGAGGGGCAGCAAGGGGAAGGGAGGAGGAGCAGGAGCTGGTGGAACCAGCTTAAAGCCAGTTCCCACAGCACTATCTCCACGGGGGGCAGGGGAGGCAGAGGCACAGCGTGGAAACAGTGCAAGCAGCGACTCCCTCGCCCTGTTCTCTGTGGTGCCCCCCATCTTGCTGCCTCTGAGAGAAGCAGAAGGGGACAGGGGAAAGAACAGGAGCCAGTGCTGGGGGGAGCTGGTTCCCTCCATCACCGTCTCCAGAGTGCCTCCTTATCCCTGGGATCCCTTGTCCACAGCAGTCCCAGTGGAGAGCTGCCCCCCACCGCAGACAAAGGCTCTGCCACCAAGCCGCCCCTTTTCATGGCAGCCAGGGCTGGCTGTGGGCAGGGGCTGCTCAGATAGCA